TATCGTGGACGAGTTCGGGCAGCAGTAAATGCTTCGAAGCTCCTCTCTTGAAGTTGCCTCGCAGATCTCTTTAAAGTCGAGAACTTTTTAATGATCCGTATTATTGTGTCGCTGGGGGAGGGAGGGCTCTACATTCACTTGCAACTTTCATTCTACAGGATGTCTTAGAAAGTTGATATGGAACTTCGGCAGCGTTGTAGCGCTCATCGGAAGAAATAAAATAGTTATAATAAACGTCGGTTGGAATAACATCAAGTTGTAAGTTTGAAGTTGTAAGACGGTTTCTGGTACGAGTTTGTAATAGTACGGAGTGGTTTCATGGTAGAGAAGCTTCTCTGAACTGAGAATAGCCAATTGATGATGTTCCCAGTCTTGTAACGACGCTAGAAAATAGAACAGTGATTTTTATGGAATATTTAAGTCGATGCTTTTGTATTACATTTAGGAGAAAAAGTTAAAAATTGAAAGAAATTGGTGAATATTTCATACAAAATTAATGTTACTGTATTAGAATAGTTCAAATTCGGTAAAAATCCATAGTTTGCTTTCATTCATGATAAAACGATCGTCAAACACCAGCTATGTTACGTCTAGTTAGATTCACATTAGCTTCAAATTAGCCATTAATAAATGTAATATTATTGAACAATACTTTTAGTTGCTAAATTCGGGCGATAATTAGCAGTTTGTGGACCACTTTATAGTACTTACTCTCGTAAGCTTCAATGTCTCCCATAGTGCTCGAGGATTAAATTGCACCATGTTTCCCCTGGTCGTCCGGATAAAAAAGCAGCGACGAGCATCATTATCTCGTATTTCGCGAAGAAACGTCAACCAGCCATTAATTCTCTGTGCATTTGCATATCGGATAGGGTAGGCCGTAAAAAACGACCGGGAAAAAACTGACGGATCGACCGGATGATGTACGAGGCTGTGAATAATTATAGCTACATCCGCCACGGTCCTGAACATTTAACATTCCCACTGATTTCCCGGGATTGCAGGTCTTTGAGTTGCTCCTCGATCCAATGTAGGCATTCGCGATAAAAAGGAAAAGGAAAGAAAAATAGAAAAAAGAAACGAGTCTTCAGAAGAGACGAGACACGCGTCGACGATGTTGTTCGACATGAACGATCAATTGAACGACCGTTGTCGAATATCTTGTGCCACTGTGCGAACAAATGCGATATATCAGCACGTTTCGCTGACTTTTCATTCCAGTAGGATGGATTTATTTCGGTAATTATCTCGTGTGGATACTCCACCGCGAGTGATGAGTGTGCTGTTGGTAAAATGCACTAGAAATGGTATTTTTAAAAAACTTAAAAAAGATCGATTCGTGATTTTGCGATACGTGATTGATTGATCTTTAATGGTGTATTCTTCTAAAATAATTTACCGTTGAGAAAAGATTGACAATTAGAATTAATTGTCTCTTTCTGGCTTTCTAAAAATTATTATTTCTTTCACAATTCGAAATTTAATTTAGAATCTTTCAAACTCCCTCTTTCTTAGAATTTGGAATTAAACTTTTTAGAATCGGTGGAACCTTGATAAATTGAAATCGAAGGCAGTCGACTGTCCAATGACGTTTAATTGTGCGTTTGCAGTTCGTTGCGTCCTTTAACAACTCAAAGAATCCAAATAAGGTCTCCGTTTTCTTGGAACTTCAGTCGATCCGCTGGGAAAGAAACATCCCTTAAGGAATTCAAATTTCCTTGGAACTAGGTAAAGAGAGACCGCTTTCACGACAGTTGACAGGAAAGAGGTTAAAAAGAAGCGAGTCTTTGCTATATTGTATTTGTTACTAATGAAGAGGCAGCTCATGAACGTAATGGATTAGCGAGACTTCATGTACTGACTGTTTCGAGGAAACCCTCGAGGTTCATAAGTGATAGTGTCTAATAGATAAGAAGCGCGACTTTTTCTGGTGACGTGACTACTTACAGAGACAAAGTGATCAGTTTAACACAGCCTTCGTTAAGACAGTAAGAAAATTTCAACTCTTATATTCTGCCGTTATCTTCACGACAAAAAAAAAAGAAATTATATAATTATATATAATAATTATATAATTATATCATTATATTGAAAATGAAAATTTAGATATTATTAACGCGAAATTTTCTATCAATTTATTCCGAAACGAAGGTTAAAAAAGAACGATCAAACGTCCCAGCCTCTCTCTCGCGCAACTTTTTTTCAACGGATATCCCCGTAAATAGACGAGTCAGCTAGTTAAAAGAAGACTACTCAACGGACGTTATCAACGCGAAGCTATCGGGCTCGATATAAGTCGCTTTTGTAAAAGTGGGTTTATTGGCAATTATTCGGCGGAGAGAGATGGAGTGTCGGCAGCGAAAGGCGGCTCGTTTCAAGAATCGGTCAGTCACTTTTATCGTCCGCCGTAAAAGCTGCTGCAGGCACTCGCTAGCGGCTCGCACGCTAATTCGTAAATAATAGTAATAACATCACGCTTGATATAACACGGTCGAAATTACACGCGGCTGTAAAATGCAGTGAGGCATCAGGTCCCTTGACCTGAAAATTCAACGTTTCCTCTCGTTGGAAACGAGACGGAGAACGAGCCAGTCTTTTTTTCACATATTCGAGACCGATGACGTAACCGTTGCGCCAATTTAACCCTTTCGTTCTGAAGAACATATGTCCCGTATCTTGGTGTTTTTCTGCTTTTCGTGCTCGAACACAAGTTAATTCTGCCGTGAGTGGGAACATTCTTTAAAAATATGCTTATCTTGCATCAACTAATGTTTACTATCAATTTCACTTAAATGGAAAAATTCTTTGAACGAAGAACCTATTAAAATGTGCTTATCTTACTTCAACACAAATTCAATTACCATCAATCGTATCGTAAGTGAAAGAATATCGTCAAAAATCGAGGACAGAATCTCGAAAATTTGCCAGCCTCGAACGCGTTAATTTCTTCGATTCGTGGAAATCGAATCACCAATGCAACGATTCGGTTGGCGCCGAAGCGTTAAATTCAATCGTGGGTCAGTACTTTGCGTTGCTCAACCGAAGAAATTACGGTTTTCAACGGGGACGCCTAAATTGAGGCTTTAAACTCACCGGTGTCCTACATCCAGCGCGATTTTTCTCTCCTCTCTCCCCTTCCCTCGATCGTCGGATTACGTAGAAGGTAGATAATTAAAGAGGGTCTTTAAGGCTCGGTCTATGGAATCTCGGCGAGGGTCGCGCGTTCGAGAGAGCATGCTCGAATCGGAGAGGGTTCCGGCAAACTCAATTTCTTCGCCGCGGTTCTAGCTTTGAGCGTTCGATTTATCTTGAAGTCCGCAGACATTTTAAACATCCCAATAATATGTGGGATAACCTCCCGTTTCTCAAGACTTAACGTTGACGCTTCCGTTCCCTCGAAAGCTCTCGTTGACCCGGAAATCGTAACGAGTTTCCAAAATAAAGAACATCTGTGGTATGCCTGGCTTCGTTTTCGAACGCGAAAACTGGAAACTTTCTGCGAAACTTTCGCTCCTTTGATTCATTTTTCGTACGATGTTCTTCTCTCTTGCTGAATTCATTGTTGTGTTGAGATTGAAGTTACTCATTATTTTCATTGACAATGAGAATAATTAATTCAGATTGTTTTTTTATGTGATCTCTTCTTTTCAATCGACTTAAAGGATCTAACGGGATGAATTCTTTCTCCATTCAATTCATTGGTAACTTGGAAATCAAAATTTTATTACTCTTTTTTTATTACTATTGATTTAAGTCTTTCATTGTAGTATTATTGTAATAGTTACTGTAGTATTAGTAGTGGTAGTATTATTATTATTTGATTAATAATTGTTTTGAATACTTACTTTCGAAGAACAAGGAAGGAATGAAATCTTTCACTGCAATAAAAATTTATTTTTCTTAAAAACTTGGACCCATTCCTTCAGTTGTTTGACACAAAATTCTGCCTAAAAATATGGAAGTTTTTAAACGTTTTGTAGAATAATAATAATAATTCGCCAATAGTAAAAACGCTCTAACGAATCAGCAAACTTTTATTCAAATTTCAATTGAAATTTCGAACAAAGTAGAAGAGAAACTAACTGTGGAGTTGTAATTTAACTTTAAATTATACTACTGGACGCGAGGAAGGCTCCGGAATTTCCAAGCCCTTTTCAAGTAAAATATTAAATTAGACTCTACACTTTTTTCTCTACAAAAAAAATCTTAAATTACATCTTCCAAAGTTGCACCTTCGAAATTGACGAAATTACAGCAAGTTATCAATCAAACTTTGACAATACTTTATCACCATCTTACAAATAAGATTATAATTAAAATTAGTTTCATTCATTGACATATCATGCAATTTGGATTACGTTCATGACGAAACGTTCAATTTTTCAACATTCTAGACAGTCATGCAACTATTTTATTACGCGTAAGAAATATGTCATTTCTAACGTCTAGGAATTTCACCTAAAGAAAATTTTAAAGTGTGAAATTAGATACAATACATGTAATTCGAAGAGATCTATAAAATACCCAAAGGAGAGTACATTCTATAAAACAATTCTCTGCCAAACTTTCATCTTTTTACCTTTATTTCCAAAAATATGAATTTGCATAAAAATGCACAGTCTTTTTATCACCGAGATACTTCTCCTAGCAGAGAAAAAGTGAAAGAGAGAGAAAAAGAGAGAGTACAATTATATAAAAATCACGTTTTCTAGATTTGCAACATCGTGCTATCTTGACATGCACCGTGGATTAGTGATATTCGTGATTTACGTATTACTCTGGGACGTTTTAATCCCAACGACAACGGTAACCAGTTTTGCGGAATATATAGGTCCCCGTAGTAAAAGGATTAAGCTTCTTCAACGTCAGTGTGCATTACACAATCCTGTATATCGTAGTTGGCGAGCAGGAGCAAATACTCGAGCTGTAGGTATCTGGTGAAAATAATAACGAGATAACAGTTGTTTCTACAGAGTCTTTAGAATTCAAGAACGAATGTTCGCGAAATGAAACTCGCGCGTTTTGCCGGATTTTTTGGCAAGGACAGTCGTCAAACAGCGACACGGTCGTGACTATTTTGCCATTAAAGTATCTTCACTGCCAACGACAGAAATGGCGATGCGATAATTAGACAATCAAACTTTTTGAATTTTGCTCTATTGCGAAGATATATATTATCATACACGTACAAATATTTGTACGAATATATAAATAAATATTTTATCGTAAAATTTGGGAATCGACTTTTGGGAATTAATAATTTGGTAAAATTATCACATGTATTATAGCACGATTCTCAAACTCTAATTGCATGAGATACAAACTTAATAAAATTTCTCTAGGATAAATATGGATTTTATCAAATATTATAGCGTAATTTTCTATTTTATTCCATAATAAAAATTCAGCACAATTGCACGTTAATGTGAAATTTTTTTGTGGCGATTCTATTTCAAAGCTAAACGGTATAATGAAAATTCACTAAAATTACTCATTAATGTAAAATTTTCCTGCAATAAATGTAGATATTATAGCAGAATTCCAGTTTATCACGAAACTAATATATAATAAATTTCAGAGTGCTACGTTTCACTGTGCTACGTTAAATTTTTTGATATATACATATATGTACATATACATACTATATAATCCCATATCATAAATTTTCGAAAATTTAATACCTATATAAAATTTTACTTTTGTAATAAAATTTTGTAATTTATTACAGACCAGAAATACTGGTTCGTCAGTTTCTCGTTTATTGCTCTTTTCGATATGAAATTGCGAGCCTGGAAATTGTTGAAGGTTATTTAATTTGAACATCGACTGGATATAAAAAAGAGAATTCTTAACACAATTTAGAGAACGCACGTGCAAAATAAAATCTGTACTCTCCTTAGAGAGCAATGCTCCTACTAGCAATTGTTGAGAATGGAATGTTCTGTTGAATTGTATTTCCAAGAACGTAGATATAATTAAATTTCACGATGAGGCAGACTCTTCCATTTTAATTAGTTTCGATTTGAAATCTACCTGGAAGGAAATAAACACGGCGCTGCATTTATTATGTTCTTGCATTTATTAATTAACAGCTTTAAACGCGATTTTGCTTCGATATTGCAAGTGACAAAACACGCATCTCGAAGAATTTATACGTTGCTTACATCCTTTCATTCTCACGAGAATGAGGAATTATTTCTTTTTATTATATCGTATTAAAAACTTCTTTTGATCGCTTTCAATTCAATTTGACGTTATGAGTAATTAAATGTTCCAAGCTTGAATAAAATACAAAGGAAGTTTTATTAAGTCATTATTATTCAAAAAAGTCAAATGTAAAATTTTCATTTTCCATTACTTATTTCTAAACAATGCTTATCGCTTTTAATCTACAATATAGTCTCTTTATTGCCAATTAAACACGTAATTTAACAAAAATTCATTAAACCTATTTTTAATTTTCTGTCTCTCGTCGAAAATGAGTGAAGGAATTTTTTTCAGAAAACAACAATAAATTATAAGAGATTGCTGTTGTTTCGTACAAAGCTTTTTACGTCTCAAATAAGAAGATAACCATTTCACAAATAAAAATCTGATGTTAGCTTCTACTTAACCCAATATAATTTAAAAATGTTGTATCTAGAGTTTTACTGTAATTTCTAATGAAAAGTTCCATAGTAGAATTTATTGTACACATATATATAATATATTCGATATATAATAATATATAATATAATAATATAATTATATAATTTAAAATGATATAATTATATAATTTAAATAATTTATATATTATATATTATATATTTATATATTATTTTATACAATTTATAGTTATAGTTTATATTGCGATATGTGTAATATAATATAATTTTTTTTTATTCCTAATATTTAAATCTTCGGACGTCGTACAATCTTAATTTTTACTATCATCGACTTTTTACAAAATCTTCAAACATATTGCTTCGGTTTTCACGGGGCGTTCGGACGCGATACATCATTCTTTCGATCAATTCCAATCGAACGACGTTTATTGAAAGGCATTATTCACTCGGTAATTATAAAAGTACACAGAAGAACCGCAATCTGTCGCAACGGATTAACGAATATTCGCCGTCCCCGGTAAAACCGAATAGCGTTTATCTTCGACGTGACGAGAAACCGACCTCGATCCAATTGTCCGTTCCGTATCCAGCCGATCGCTATTAAACACGCCGCAATGATTACGTTCGTTAAATTGAAACCTCTTTTCTCCCGGAATCCCTCTCGCTCGATTCGCGGTGGGTATATACATCCTGTGATATTTTCAACAGTATTTTTCAGGCGAAATTGTGCGTGTCCGTTAACGAGGATGAGTTTCGAAGTTTCACGGTACCCCGGGCGAAAATTCTGCGCCGTGTGCGATCGAGTTTCATTTTTGCGCCGGAGGGGAAGCCTTGCGCAACGCACGTCCGACGATTTCACTTGGAATATTAATTAAAACAAAATATCGGAAACCACCAAAGTGCATTTAAACGAAATTATTCGTAGCTACGTTATAAATCTCTGAAACTTTTATTGGTATTAATCTTCTGTTTATCGGCTCGTATTTTGTTTCTCCGTGTTATATCACTGTTCATAGGCACACGCGTTTATCGACGTTCATTGGAAGAATGAACTTTAACGTGGGTATCGGCGGATTTTATTTTAAACAAAATGAATAATTGTGTTTTCACCGAACTGATTGTTGATTTCGAATTAATTGGTGTATAGGTTGCGTATATGTATATGTGTGTACTTTGTATCGTATTGTTACAGGTTCGTACGCTTCAATTGAAATCAGTTGAGAGGAAGTCTATTGTATTGCTTTGCGAGAAGTAATATTGGACGGTGGATATTGGAATTCAGATTCGAAGTAATAGTAAGAGTAACAATAAATAATGATAACTAATATAATTTCCACCTACATTAATCTTCTTATTTAACAGTTTAACACTAATTTGAATTTATAAATTAAAACTAATTATGCTGTATATATTGCAGAATATTTAGTACAGGTGTTTATGTTGTAGAGAATGTAATATCGTGATAAGATACAAAATGTTTGTGCAACTTTATATTCTTATGAATGTAATTAATACTGAAACTACGGATGATTAAAATATAAAACTTGTATCAGGGAAATTAAAGTACAAAAATCAGGACAAAATTTAGAGCTTTTATTTATGCATTTTACGAAAAAATCATTTAAATCTCTAAAAATTCAGTGTATAGGTAAACTTAGGAAATTTTTACGAAATATTACGAATTAATTATTTCAATCGCTCTGATAGTTCTAGTATTAAAAAATTAAATAGAAAATTGTTTTTTCTATTGGATATCATAATAAGCGCTCTATTTCTATTTCCGGAATCTTAAATTTCCCAAAGATGCATAAATATTTGCAATTTAATTGAAACAATAGACTCCAATGTATCGCGCGTTCATTAAGTAGAAAAGGAACGTAGTTGTCAGCCGAAACTTCGTCGCTCTAACGCGTCGTTCGAATATAATCGATCTTGGGAACAACCACAATTCGTCACGTCCATTAAAAAGAACAGGCGCACGTTCTGTCGAAAGAGACGGAGAAAGAAAAGGCGACGAATATATCGCATAATCAAATTAAAAAGAAATATTTCACGAAGCACGAATATCGAATTAAAAATTCTTGCTTCATTGCCGGAAGGTACGTTCCAGCAGGAGCTATCGCGAAATGGAAAATTCATCGTTATTCATTTTCGTTAAGCTATCGTAATCAACTACCCCGTCGCTTCCGCTAGCAGATATTAATTTAATATATTATGCATATGCAACACGGCACGCACTGAGTCAGTGAAAGAAGTTGTCTCGTTGATATTTCATCAAGTGAAAAATTAAAATCACGCTGCGAACGTGTTAATCATTAATCTTCAAACTTCATCTGATTTCGTTGCGTTGATATTTCGCTTCTCGTAATTTTTCATTGTTAAAGTTCTTCACTTCTTAAACTCGCTATTCTAGTTTAAAATTTTAATTAGATTTCCGAAAGAGTGACTATCTCTTGGAAATGAATTAACTACGGTCAGAAGTTTGATGAGTGTGTTTAATTTTGATTTGAGGAAAGGAAGAATTGTAATATATTATTTGAAAAATTATTGGAAGGAAATTAAAGTGTTCTAAAAGTACAATCTTCAACTTTCGAGTCTCTTTTCCAAAAAAAAGCTTCAGAATTAATATATTCGCGCTTTATTATTTTGCTTTTTTTCACGTATTTTATTTCTCATTTTGTTACTTTTTCATTTTTTATTTCCACGTTTTTTTCATTGGTTTGTGATGTTTGTGCTTTTACAAGCATTTCCCTACCTTTCTTGCATTTCACTGTTTTATTTTTAGAATTCATTCAATATTTACTTCAATTTTAGATCTAATTCAACATTTAACTCGATTATCTTTCGTATTTATGCTTTAAATAGCTATTAATTGATTGCGAATTTATAGTTTATACTTTTCAACTAAAAAAATAAAACTTCGGTAAAAAAATTCTTTTACATAGCAGATATCATAGAAAGAACTTTCTTTTTTATGCACTTTTTCATAATATGATGTACATTATGTACATACATACGTGGGACGTTGCGCTCTTAATTTTTCTATAAATATTCGCAGTCTAATTATTAATTAGCTCACTCAAAGTTCCAAAAGTAACTTCGCCAATCCCCTGAAATTAATTACCTCGAATCGCATATTTCAATTTTAACGTACTTGACACTGTGATATACAGTTTCAGGTGAAAAAAAAAAAAAAAAAAAGGAAAGAAGATTCCACCGTTTCACGTGATAATTAAATTAAACTCTACAGTTCTCGCAACGTCAGATTATAAATTAGTTTCGACCATTTACTGGTGAACTCAGGCAAGAACAATCATCCAACGTGCCAATGAATTTCGCTCTTGAATAGGCTGAGCAACACGTTAAATTTGGTCGAGTTAAATCAGAGTGCGTTCCGTACCTCGGTTTTCCCATTTCGGTTGCATGTGAGCAAAAGAATGATAAATTTGTTAAAAACGAGAAATCTACTTCTTATGGAAAGATCGAGAGAAATTATTGAATAATAATTAATCAACGAGAATTCCTGTAGATCCTTGAACTTTTACGTATCAACTTTACTTTGAGTTTAAGAAATGAATAGAATTTGAATGCCAATTGAAATTAACAATGCCAATAATTAATTAATTTCAAAAATCCGTCTTAAAAAGAGCTGGAGGAAGAATTAACTTGTAGAATTCTGAGCAGCGCTCGATATCGAAGTTTCTTGGTGGAAAATGGTAACCAACCGGTGAAGGTTTACCAAGTTGTTCAGAGTAGCGGGAAGTACGGTATTATTGTTAGAAATATTCTTCCACGATTAATGATCGTTTCGTACAAAAGGAACTGTCTTGCATGAACCGATATCGCGCACAACACAATTTTCTTTCCGGTCAATCTTTCGAACAAGTTGAGACATCGTAAATCTCGTTGATCCTTCAATGAATAGCTATTGTTCAACTAATATTCTGTAAAATATGCGACAGCGTCTAAAGATAAACCAAAAATTTAATTCTCTGTCTTTAAGAATTGAAATGTCAGTCAATTTATTTCTGATGTATTTCTAAGAATTTTATACATCAATTTTACAGATAATTGGTGTTGAAATTTATTTACTATCATCCTAAAATATATTTCTTTATTTACACATGTTATTAACAAAACGTGGAAACGTGAAAACAAAAAATATCAATTATTTTAATTACATGTGTATGTAAATTCTAGAATTAATGTGACTTTTGTAGGAAATTAGAATATTTACAATTAAATCGACAATTATACACATGAAAATGTATCTGTAATACAGTTATACGTATTTATGATACAATTATACGTACATAATACTCAACATATTCAAAGCTTTACTATTTAAAACTTCTGTAAAAATTCTAATACAAGAATACGTACAGGATAAGGATTTGGTTCTTCATCATTATTAGAAAATAATTATAATTACGATATTCGTGATATTCTCACAAATTATTTTATAACGATTTTACATGTAAAGGAAAAGAATACAGATCTACATAGTATCGCGATGAGAGTTCATGTAAAATGCACGCAAGAACCAAAAGTACTAAAAAAACTTGGCCCCTTATTATAAATATGATATAATTCACGCGACTTATCCACGAATCATAATAAAAATTTTATACCAAATAAGAAAGGTCAAAGTTTTATCAAAGGTTAGAGGTCTACGTAACAATTTCTACTTGGAAATCACAACGCGGGGGTGAAATAAAATACATAAAAGTACACAAAATAATAATTTTCACACGTACTATCCACAAATCATTTTACAAAAATTCCGTGCCAAATGGAAAAGAACGCAGATCAAAGTTCGTGAGATTCATCTCTACGTGGAGTTGCAATCGCTAGATAATGTTAAATGTCCTTTAAATGAACGCATGAATTGTCATTTCAATCAGATTTAAAACGTTCCCAGTGACCTAATCAGAAAATACATTGCCGCTTGATATATAGGATGACAAAGTGCATTTCCGGGGGAGGTGGACAGACAAGTGGCCTAGCCACACGAAAAGGGTGAAACCGAGGAAATCCAGTTACTCTTGAGGTCCCTTCTAACTGCCGTCCCTTTTGCCGTTTGACTTTGAACTCACTACGGGAATATACGTCTGTCGCATCTACTTGTTCGTATTCTGCAACTTACAAAGAGATTTAACGTTACTTAATTAACGAGCTTTCTGGAAAAAGGGATATCTTTTTTATCAAATTGTATCATCATGGAGCTGGTACTTATTTCGTAAACGCAGAAAGGAAAAGGTTCTTTGACAACAGTTGCAGACGAAACTATTCGATTAATGAAATTTTCGGATATTTTTTTTTTTGTATCAAATTGCATATAGTTAGATGGAGATCAAGAAAATCGTTATTTCGACGTTTATTTAAAAATGATATCCTTTCTTTATTAATTCTGTAGTTTCGTTCATTTTATGCTTCAAACGAATCACAAGGTTTTAGAACCTTGAGTTTTATAATTTTTATTTGCTTTTTCATTCATAAACGAAACGTTGATTTGTACAATTGTACAAATTAGTTTAGACGTAATTAACATACATTCAATATATTTAATACATTTAATTGTGTTCATTATCATTTAGTTTAACTTCCTCATTATTTAACTACATAATATTCATTACTTGTTTGGTCCTTTAATGTATTTATGTTCATCATTATTAATTCGTCTAATGTATATTCGTCTCAATATAATCTCTCGATCCAGTCTATGAGTTTATGAACAAACGCATACTGTTTCAAATAAACAAAGGTTTCGCGAACTTTTTTGATCAAACGTCCGAATTCTAAATGAACTGCACTATACTCTAACTCTTAATCAAAGAATTTCAGTCACGTGCCAATCGGTTTTAGCTCGTTATTCCACGCGAATGCTCGAAACACGCCAAACAGAAAGAAATGAGAACCAAAGAAACCAGTCAGCCGGTTGAACGTGTACGAACGGATTGCACCAGTCGATCGATATATCGCTTATCTCGCGTATCTATTCAATCCTTTCTTTGTGAGGGTCAAACTGGAACAATCTCCAACACCTGCTCGTTACCACCCCGTTCATCTTAACGTGCACTTCATTTATGCTCCAACGAAGATAATACGGTCGGATGTGGTACTAATGAGGTCGAAGGGTGGTTCTATCAGTACGAAGCAAGGGCGCAATACCTGTCCAACGGAAATTCACGTGCTTCTGCACGAATTCGCGAAGGTGTCGATTATCGATCGATATCATTGACCACCCACGGATGAATTGTTCCTTTCTATTCCCCGGCGTGTTCTTCGGATAGCTGTTACGCCATCTTTATTGTATGAAACAACATGTGGAGCGTCTGTTTGGAGAAATATTTATTCTACATGACCTAAAGAAGAACTTCTATTTTAGGAACTGCGACGAAAATGAAACGCGTCTATTTTCAAAAAGACAAGTCTTAAATTTTCCATTGTGTCCTTTCTAGAGGATTGTTCGAGGAAATATATTTCGACCTAAATAAAGAAATGAAAAAATAAAATAAAGAATTTTCGGAGAATAATAACAACGAAGAACGAAGAATTTTCTGAGAATACTAGAGAAGTAAAAAAATAAATGATTTCCTTCGAGCTACGTAATAAGAAATTCGAACTTGAACGAAGAAACGGTGCAACGCCGATCGATAGCTTCCAATAAAATCACATTGGGATACAAGAATAGAAAAGAAGAAGCTAAATGGTAGCAAATATCGAGCTGCGATTCAACCTTTAAACAGCAACACAAATATTATATGAGCTTTCCTTTTTCTATACCATCGATCGTACGTCCTGCAGACGAAATACTTGGCGGTATAAAATTCGCAAGTGTGTCAGGTCATTCGAAGCACATAAAACAGAATGCTCGAAGCATTCTTTGTGAGAAGCTGTGTCTGATTGCTGAACGCTAATTATTCGAGACTCGTTCCCGAATCTAACGATTAAATGCTGCGATTAAAGCTACCCGTGATTAAAGCTAAGATGTACAGGGTGACTCACGCAATAAGTAACAGTAATATCTTTCTGTTGATTAAAGTTGGAAAAAAGTATTAGAAGAGAAAAACTGAATCGTTCAAAGTGAACTATGTATTTAGAATTGTATTTTTCTCCATAACGAACATGATACACATATGTTTCACAATTATATTATTTTTTCATTTCTTTCTGTATATATTAAGTCTGCTTGTCGAAGATTGATGAAAAATATTTTAACTTGTCGTATGAAAGAGCAGGAAAACAAACTCAACTTATTGATTATCTATGTGATACGCTATTGTTGACTAAACAATCGAAGAATTAAGCCATGTATAAATACTCTTATAAAGAATTTCAATCATTTATAAATGCTTTTTTATATAGAATGACAGGTATGTTTAGTGCACACGTATTTACGAAAACAATGTGACTGTCAGTATGTAGTTTATTTTATCTTCTTTCTCAAGTAGTTTCTTCTAATTTCAACTAAAAAAATTACATGTGACTTGTTGCACTTGTGTGAATCACCCAGTATATCGTTCGTAATGAGTATCCCTCGAATAGCGTTCTAATCGTCAACTCCTTTGACGGAACTTGGACACTTGTATTTGAAGCGTACCATGCTCTATCGTCAAACAGTCTGGAAAACGGATATCCTGCGATCAAGCTACTAATAATTTCACCGAAAATAATCGCAGCTTCCACATTGCAGCAAAGATTCTTGTCGTTTCTTTTAGAAAAATGGTTTCGCAGCTGCGAAACGTTGAAACATTTCATTTTCTATATACTCGTACCTTTTCTTATGTATTAACCAAGAGAAACTGTTCGATCTGCAAACTGTTGTTTAACCAGTAACTTACCAATTCAGGTTATCATTCTTATTACATATTGAAATATAATAATATCATTCATATTGCTCATTCGCATTATTAGTTTATTGCTAAAATTATTATGCAACTTGTGAGTTTTAAATACAGCAGTATATTCCATATTTGAACTAACAGACAGACAAAAATGATTTAATCCTTAAATGCACACTGCTACGAACTTTTACGCCATCAAATCTGAATGTATCACTAAATTGTTCATTTTAGGTTTAATAACGAAACGAATTTCATTTATTCGAATGAAAACTGAAGAAAATAGTGCAAGAGATCGTGTGAAGTAAAAAACTGTGGTAACACTGGTTATATACCTAACACTTTTCAAAAGTTGCACGCCAAGGTTACGATTAATACGGGTGGCATTAACGCGATTAAAAAGGATAACAGAATTTGCGAGGACGGACGAAATTTTGTAGCGAAAATGCGATTATCGTATAACGAGTTCCACTTTCGTAGCTGAGCCACGAAACTACTCGGCGATTCAGCGATTTTTGATTGCGTTTCCGAGTGAAGAAAACTTCCGTTAGAAGTATATTGCGAAACCGTATAGCGAAACCATGGAAATCCTGGGAAAACAAGCGACTTTAGTGTCACGGTGAGAGTCTCAATTAAATTTCAAAAGATAAACGCGCGACAATTTCGACAAACTAGTTTGGTAGAATCGTCACAGACTATGAGTCTCTAAGTTATAAAGTAACCGTGTGTCGACTAGTCGGAAGGAAATGATTAGTTCGGAGGTCGTGTAAAGACCTTGCCAATGATCCTTTAACGACCAAGTCGATAAATCAAGATTTACGCGTAGGAAATTCTCGGAAAAGTGGTTCCCGAGTGTAGCGACGTATCGGTTACTCTTAACTCCAGGTCAAGCGAAGTGAAGACACAAATTTGAAGGTTAAATGCTGACTTTTTCATTCTTTCGGTTACATTTTTATACAAGTCTCTATCGCAGTTTTCGAGGAATTTTAAGAAATAGTGGGACTTTTAGGAAATTTTAAAAAATGTTAAGAAATATTGTTCCTGTATGACACTAGCTCGAGTTGGTGATCTATGTATCCGAGATTTATTCAGGTTTCGGTAGACTCGGCAAGTTTGTCCATTCGGTCAATGCACACAGTTTATTTGCGATCGGTGGTTAAAACGCACTTTATCGAATTTTTGGTTTTCGATTCGTGATAAAAGTCAAAGTTCGAATTGCCTCACACGAACATTTCTGCAAACTAAACTAATAAATCCAATTTTCGTAAATTTTTTCGATTTTATTAGAATGAAGAATTAAGCATTGCTAAATGGGTAAAGATTTATTATCGGAGGAATACATAATTTGTGGAACACAGTTGAATATAAAGAGCTAAAGGACTGCTATCAATTTAAATGAAGATTCAATTTAAAATTATCTTTTCCTTTGTGGTATATTTTAATACAATTTAAATTTAAATTTAATGTATATTTCAGTACAGAATTGATAGAAAATTAGAGTGCAGAAAGTAAGAGAAAGCTTATATGAAAGTGATTCAATAATCATTAGAGGTGTGCTGGATCCCGACATTTTCCGGATGCTTGGATTGGGACGGGATCTCGAAGATATCGGGATCCCAAAATTGTTCAGGATTCCCGAAGAAATTCGGGATCGAGTGTTGACAGCAACACAAACCATCAACGAACAACTATTTTCGACAGCTGGGAATATCGTTACAGCCAATAGAACGAGATTGTTGTCCGAAATTGTTGAAAAGTTAATTTTTCTCCACGAAAATTTGAAATAAAACATTTTCTACTTGTTACTTTCTTGTTGTATTATTTTTATTCCATCTTTTAGAATTTTATAACTTTATAGTAAGTTTTCCGTTATATAAACAAACTACACAAACGAATAAGTACATTTTGTGAGGTCGAAAACTTGTTAAAAATTGAAACCTTGAATTAGTGGTATGCGAAAAGCTGAAACACTCGATCCCGAATTTCTTCGAGAATCCCGAATATTTTCGAGATCCCTAACTTCTTCGGGATTCCAAAATCTTCGGGATCCCGCACACCCCTACTTGACACACTCACAACGAAAGTTGGAAAATCTACTTTAGTGCAATGTCAGTAACAATAGTAACAACTAATGAAAGAAGAGCGGAGAGGAGATGTCCCTAATTTCGTCCTAAGTTAAATAAACGTATCTTTGTACAGAATGCGCTCAAAGTGAATTTACAAATATCAACTATCGTATAATTAACTAAAACTAAGACGCACGCAACTTAAAAATAAGACGCACGTAACTTAAAACTAAGCCGCACGCAACATAAAACTAAGACACACGCAACTTAAAACTAAGCGCACGCAATTTACGACCAAGACGCACACAACTTAAAACTAAGCCGCACGCATCCCACGATGTCCCTGCGAGATCTCTCGTCGTCCAACGCTAGCCCGCTGGAGGCCCAATAGTTTACTTATCAACTAATTGTACCTACAGTTCAGTTTAGATCGTGAAATGAAGAAAGGAAAGAAATCTTCACGGTCTAAACTGAACTGTAGGTTGCGCAGTTCTTAGCTTGATATAGTTTTACAAGCATTAAAGTTTGTGAAACTCTAATGTTTGTAAAAAGATATCAATTACCAGGTCTCACCACGAGGAGGTGACTACGCACGAGACCCGCCCGGGCCCTAATCCCAACCACCCTCCATTACATTCAAATAACTCGACATTCTTAAGGAATGCCGAGATTTTATTCTACTTGGCCCGGGGTTACGAACAAAGGAGACAAACGTTCCCTAGTTCATTCTCAAACTTAAGTCTAAATCTTAACTCTAAAGCGCATGTATGAGATTGAACTATGGAGATCTGTCTCCTGAACAACGATCGCGTTAACAATCATACAATATATACACACATACAATCATACATTACGTACATTACATACAATCATACATTACATACGAATGCAAGTCATACAATATGTCACAATCACTCGCAGCCTTTCATACTGACCACACACTCGTCTAACATGAAAGTTACACAATAATTGTACAATAATTCGCAGCACTAACAGCGCATTCTGTATCAAAGACACGTTTATCGAACTTTGAACGAAATTAGGAGAACGAAACTATCAACACGCTTCAGAATCGTGTTTTGCAAGAGTATTTGTATAACGCGAAATGAAACCGCGGTTTGTTACTGTCATTCTACCAGAGTAGAATTTCCAACTTTTGCTGTCAGTGTACCAAATCGGGGTTCGAGCAGTTAGGGGCAAGTAGTCTAGTTCAACCCTCAACGACACAGTGGGGTTCCGTAGAACCACTGGAGTCGGATTACAAAGGACTAGACTACACGAACCTCACCTCGTTCGATTCGAACGAGGCTGCAGTTCCCTGATTTGACACACTGACAACGAAAGTTGTAAACTTTACTCCAGTGCAATGACAGTAACAAAAATAACTCTACTCTAGTGCAATGATAGTAACAAATGTATCCCTACTCTAGTACAATGACAGTAACAAATGTAACTTAACTCTACTGCAATGACAGTAACAAAATGCATCGCTATTTTAGTATAATGACAATTACAATAGTAACAACGAACGAGAAAAGAGAAGGGAGGAGGTGTCCCTAACTTCGTCTCAACTTAAATTTGTCTTTGTACAGAATGCGTTCACAGTGAATTTACAAATACTAACTATCTTATAATTAACTAAAACTAAACGCACGCAACTTAAAACTAAGGCACACGCATCCCACGATGTCCCTGGGATATCCCTCGTTGTCCATCGGTGGCCCGCTGGGGGCCCAATAATTTACTTATCAACTAATTGTACCTACAGTTCAGTTTAAATCGCGAAAAAAAAGAATGAATAGAAATTTGCACGATCTAAACTGAACTGTAGGTTGCGTAGTTCTTAGCTTGATATCGTGTCACAAACATTAAAGTTTATTGTTTACCGTTTTACAACTTAGCTTGATAACGTTTTACAAACATTGAACTTTAATGTTTGTAAAACGATATCAATTACCAAGACCCACCACGTGGAGGTAACTACGCACAGGTCTCATTATAATGTCTTGAAAATCAGTACTGTTTCATATATTTCTCTCACAGGTTTCAACTTGTACTGAATTTAAGTAATTTGTTACAAAGAGAAATGGTATTCGTAAAATAAGGCATAATTGTTAGCTCGATCTAATGACTAATATATGATATTGAAAAAATATTCTTGTTTGAGTAATTAATAGTAAAGGTCTAAATTATTTTCCAAATTATTCTGAAAGTATCTAATAATATTTGAATAGCAATAGTATTGTTAGACTAATATTGTCTATGTATATGCAGAAATATAACATATATCACGGTAATTATTAAAGAATGGTAACTAATAAAGTATATCTTGTACGACTACGATACAATGGAAATTGAATTCGTATTCAAGCTCAAATAATCACGATCAAGTATTAACTCAACACTAAGGAAACCAAACCATGTAACTTACCAATCGTTGAAGTCAAAATGAAAATTCAATTCGTGATGAGCTCTTGTCTCCGCATCGATTGACATTAATCTGATCTTTCGGTCGTTAATGATGCGATACAGATAATGAAAATTTCTTAGAAATGTATTAGTGACTCGATTACTACGAATGATTAATTAAAAATTTTAAATAGAACTTAGAAATGTTATAGAAGTGAATTTATTGTTTAATTGTTACAAATAAATTATTAGAAATATTAGACAATGTTTAACCAAGTAGAATATTCAAAAATATTGTTTAAAAACTCACCCCTAAATTTTGGTCGATGTGCACACGACGGAAGTTCAATTGGTAATGAGTCTCCGTACCGCTGAAGG